TTTGTGTCTGCGCTGAAATCAATGGAAAAACAACTCCTGCCAGGAATGTTCTAAATCCAAAAACTTGATGTTCTTTGGTTTGGTATGCTTTGGAAAATGGTGGTGAGCAATGTCAAGGAGACACATATTTGTATATTTTAGCCAAAACACATAAAAACCACAAGTACAATTATTAATTGTTCACAGTTGCTGTAGAAGTTCCCCGACATCAGTTTCCATTGAGTCCAAGTTAAGGCTCTGGTGATCAATTCCCAACTCCTGGCCAGTGGAACTGTGTGACTGAATTGGATCCTGACCTCCACAGGTGTGGTAGGTGATCTGAGGGATGAGTGAGCTCTTCCTGGGGTAACATTAGCTCCAGCCAGCTCCCCCAGTGGCCCTGCCCCAATTTGCCCTTTCCTGTCATTTTATCTGTACATCCATTGCAATCTACCTCTGCTCCTCCATTCCACTGGCGGGTCTCCATCGCTGGTCTTCTCAGATGTCAATGTGAAGAGAGAATTAACCCGCTTGAGTTGAACTTCAGTTGGGCTGACTGACAGAGTCCTGACACCCGATTGTAGGCAAAACTGTTTCAGCTTCCTGCCACCCACACCCTCCCACCCTCCAACCTCCGTGGTACCAAGGGCAAAACGAGTGTAGACAATTCACTACACAGATGATCTATTTAGGATGTTCTTCTAATGATGAACAAAGAGACAGTAATTGTTTTTTCCGGACTCAATAGAGAAGTCATTTAAGTTTCCCTAGAAAGTTGCAAAGTCATATTAGATTGTGTTGTTGTTTGAGCCAGAGGGACATGCTGTAGTTGAAAGGCTTTCTGATTAGTAGTTGAGACTTAATGTAGATCCTGTAGGGACAGAGAATTGTACTTCCTCCAAATGTCTGGGTTTAATTAGACCGACCAGCCAGCCAACCAGCTCTTTTTACATTGTCACTTACAGTAGATTTAAAGAAAACTCAGATAGTTGCCAATCTGACCACTTAAAGTGGACCAATCATGCTATATTTGAACAATATATTGTAGGGCCATACCTATATAAAGTATATAAATATAGTTTTTTTTTCAAAATACCAAACAGATCCTGCATTTTAGCCATGCCTCGTTTCGCTCCATTTTGCTCTTTCCAGCCCTGTTTTTGCAGGGGGCTGATTCTGTGAGCTGCAGCTGACCACGCCCCCCCTGCAGGAGAGGGGAGCGTGCTCTGATCAGCTGCTGGGCTGTCAGAAGAGGGGGGGATCTCCGTCCTCCGTGTTTTATTATATTATTATATAGAGTCGTTATTCATTTGTTTTAAAGCTCAATAAATAACAAAGAAGACCTTTGACCGGCACTTTTCTAATTTTGTCCGGAAGATTTAAACTTTAACGGACATCTTGACCGGCGAAAAAAAAACTAACTGAAACTCTGCCGCACGGTCCCCTCGTTCCTTGGAAGAGGCGGGGTGGAGAGGTGGGTGTTTTTCGCTGCTTTTGTGGCAGACTACAGCGCCACTTACAGGCCTGGCATATGTACTACAGCGTCTCCAGTGCTTTCGAGCAGCAATGGCCGGCCGTGGCCCCACCCCACATTCCCCTGATAGGTGGAGAGTTGGCCCAATAGCCGTAGCGCCACCGTCCTGACGTCAGTAACGTGTTCAAATCTGGATCAGTTTTTATCAGATCCGTTGCAGCCCCATTTTTAGAGATTTGGGTATGGAGGAAAATAGAGAGGGTTGTGTTTTCTGACACTTGGTGAGTTCCCTGGAACACCGGGGACACATATTCATGTATAAAAGACGTACAAAAGTGCATTTTGCATGATAGGTCCCCTTTAAGCTAAAATGTGCAGAGCTTTCAAAAGTGTTCAGTACGATAGAAGTGTACAAATATTTGCATGCTCACCATGTATTACCACTCTTACTTTGCTTATTCAACCAGTCATGTCCTTATTTAACTGGTAACTCAATCACTTAATAGAATAATTACAAAAAACACAATAAAGTAATCGACCCAGGAACACTTGACATTAATTTAAGCAGAAGAAACTGCTTAAACACATCAGTGTTTGGTAATCTGAATAGGACTTGAATCATTTGCGAATCATCTATCATTTGCATTCCTGCCAAAAGCACTATAAACATGTTTCCACATGTGCTCATTCCATAGCAAAGCTGCCAAACAGCAGTCAAGCACTGCTGAAAGGAGGCTTATCACAGCCCTTCATGATTTTCGTTGACAAATAAATAGTTTTGTTCCTATTCAAGGTAATATGTGGCTTTACTGTAGCTACACTCATTGCAGTTCGTTATTATTCCATATATGTTATGTATAATGTATTGTGTAAGATTATATGCACATTTTGAACCAGTGTTTCCGGGCCCCGCTGAAACTTGTATTTGCGTACTTTCACAAAGACGAGAGGGTGTGTGGGACACAATCTGATTAGTGTGTGTGTGTGTGTGTGTGTGTGTGTGTGTGTGTGTGTGTGTGTGTGTGTGTGTGTGTGTGTGTGTGTGTGTGTGTGTGTGTGTGTGTGTGTGTGTGTGTGTGTGTGTGTGTGTGTGTGTGTGTGTGTGTGTGTGTGTGTGTGTTGTGTGTGTGTGTGTGTGTGTGTGTGTGTGTGTGTGTGTGTGTGTGTGTGTGTGTGTGTGTGTGTGTGTGTGTGTGTGTGTGTTATGTGGACCTGAGCTCTGAGCTTTAAAAGTGTGTGTGGACTTGCAGACCTCAGCTAGGAGATGTAATCTGATTTGCAGAAATGAACGGGTCGTTTCACATGACTGGTTTAAAGGACCACTGGCGCAAGGTTGTGCCAGCGTCCCTAACTGGTTTGTGTGTGTTTTTGTGCATGAGCTTGACGTGTGTGGAATAGCTCCATGCATGTGTGCTTGCATGCTATACACCTACATGTATTTATTTGCTTTCTCAAGTGCCCCTGCAGAAATATGAGCATGTCTTAGTGCAGGCCACTAAACAGTAGAGATAGAAAGGTGTTGAAGTTTGCTACGCAATTATTCCATTGTTCTTGTTTTTAAATCAGATTTATTTGGGAAAGGTTGCATGGAAGTAAAGCCACTGCTAATTAACAGCCCATTACACATCTGGAATAAAGTACAGCTCTGCTTTTCACTCTGATGCAGTTTGCAACTTTCTGTTTACACTTCTCTTATAATCACAGCTTTATTTTAAACTAATGGACCATCAGAAATTATATCAAATAATTGAAATCATCCTGTAGCCTCAGCCCTCTTTAGAGGACTACTGAGATTAAATCCCCTTAAAGCCTCGCCTCGGAAACCTCTCTGTTTTTAAGCATTGTTTGTTGATGTTTTTTTGGGGTGGAGATTCTCTGCTGGATGTGGTCCATCATGTGATTTTCATTGGAGGGTGGCCGGAGGAGACGACCATAGTAAAGCAAGTGAGCGTGTGTTTGTGTGTCATCTGGCCTTGTTAATAAAAGCAGGTTGTTTTCCATCTGGGGGTCATCAGTTGTGGTCATCACATACACAAGTGGAAGAAGGGGGCCCTATGAGGTGACGTGTGGCGCCTTGTGTGTGCTTGTTGGTGTGTCTGTGTACATGCTTGTTATACACATAAGCATGGACCGAACGTACACGTTGTGTGTGAGATTGCATCGTGTTCATGCCTGTGTTTGGTTGTGTGCTTTCTCTCCCATGTGTGGAGAGCTCATAAGCAGGATGATGCAGTGAGCAGGAAGCACTGATCCCATCAGGCATGTCAGCAGGGGCAGTTTTTCATAAAGTAGTAATCTCACCACACAAAGGGGTGTCCAATATAAGAGAGCCCCACACCCCTGAGCTAATCAAGACCTGACCAACGCTTCTCCTGGCTTGCCAACCCTCTAAACATTACCTCATCTGGAGGTTTAGCCTAGCCACATGCTGCTCCAGCCTACTGGTCTACATGATAACTCACTTAGCTCAGTACGATAGCTAGAAAAAACAGAAATATAAGAAGGGATATATAAAAGAAATGAGACCAGCACACAACTACCTATGGTGCCTGGTGCCAGGGAAAGGTATTTTAAAAGAGAGAGGAAAGAAAGAATCATTTTACCATGTCCTCAAAAAAACTCTGGGAAGCAATTTGCCGGTATTCAGTTTCTCTCCCCGCTGTCCTGTTATTGCTGTTTTCCCCTCAACTCTTGGAGCCTTCAACCTGAAAGGAGGTTTTTAAGTTCAGGCTTTGTGTCACTCGGAAACAGTGCATTTGTTGCCTAGGTAACAGGTCTGGGACAGTGAAACTAAGAAGCCGAGTGCACCTTTGTCCGGGAATGGATGAAGAGGGACTGGAGCTGTCATTGGTCCAGATAGTACAGCTTTAGTCTTAAATACGTCTAAGAAACCTGTGATCAAGAGAAATGTCTTCATCCAATATCTACCTGAACCTGTTAACCTTATAAAATAAGTCCAACACACTACTACATTTCAAATGGAAAAGCCACTTTGACTGCTTCCCTTTACCTGACCTGCCAGCTACTGTAGAGTTTCACTGAAACCTAGATTTCCAAAAAACAGAGTTGGGTAATCTTCCTCTACTCCAGGTTTAGCTTTTTAAATAGTAGTCATAGATACTGGAGAAGGTCTTGACTCGTGTTGTCATTGTAAAACCAGATTTGGTTGACCAAAAAAGCCTTGGAAAAAAGGCAAAACAGTATTGTGATGTTTAGAGTCATGTAGAAGCACAATGATCCATTATGAGGATTGTCAGAAAATCTTAGAAATGTTGTGTTGCATACTTCATTTTGCTTTCCATTCTTCTGTTCTGTTAATCATCTCATGAATTCTCATATTTATTTTGGACTTGAAGGTTGGAAACCAGTGCTGTTATAATTGTTTTATTCTCATATTCATTTATATAAATATGTGTGTGATTGAAAATGCAAGTTTGGGCAGAACTAGACTTATTGCCATCTGATTTATCCGTTTTTTTGTCCATTTGTTGAACTCTGGAATGAGCTCCTCACTCAATCATTTTGTTCTCCTCCTTATCTTTTTCAGATGATCTCAAGGGAGCACCCAGAAGAGGCTGAGTCATAGAAACATGAACTCAAGAGACTCAACAGGTAGGGATGACTGTTTTGTTGTTTGTTCCTTATTCAGTGGAATATGTGATCACACACAGCGCAGCCTTATTATGAAGTGACAGTTGCTATAAACAACCAGAGTGTGGTACATCCACTGATGAAACAGAGTAGCAATGGTTCACATATATGTGAGACATGATCAGGGTGGTGGCACTGGCACTGGCTTAATTCCCATGTTCTTGCTTTTTTTTTTATTGTGTAACTCAAGTCATGACAGCATGGTAAAGAATGCAGTGGCACAGAGATATCACTTCAAACACGGCGTCTCTCAGGAGCCTCAGATCCTTTCAGTGAAACTGAATGAAGATATGCTTTGATGGCCCACCACAGAGTCGGTGGCTTTCAAAGAAATCTGTTGATGGGCTTGTGCGGGGCAGCCAGCAGGTTGAATGAGTGGTACTGTATACGTGCGCCTCTCAGGGTGGCCGTGGGTGTTCTCAATGGAGGTCAAACATGCTTGACCCCAACATGAGTAGACTTTTTCAATAGATTTTAGGCTCGCATTATCTTTTTTTTCTCCTTCTAGCGGGTTCTCTAGGTAAATGAAGGGGAACAGTGTGTGTGGATGGCAGGCTGCCAGTAGACAGGTACAGTAGATGTGCTGATGAGGGAGGCCGATAGGGGCCATTTTCAGTCGCAGGCCCCAGGCACAGACAGGCGTACACGGGCAGGCTGAGATTCAGAGGCAGGTTGGGACCTGGGTCTGTATGCTGATGCTGCTCTACTGGCTCTGCTCCGAAGTGAGGCATAGGAGAGAAACGTGGGAAGGGAAAAAAACAGAATATAAGTCAAAGGGAGCCATAGAGAAAATCAGGTGAAAGGACGATTGCTGAGTGGTGTTGAAAAAACACAAACAAAAATGAGGGTAGATATAACAGTGTTAACAAAAAGCAGTAGAGTGGCTCTGGCTTAAAGTTAGGAGAAGCAGGCTAGAGAGCAATGATTATGTGTGAGGCCCAGGGGAAGGAGAGAGAGGTGAGGTAGGAGGGACATGAAGAAAGAGTACGCGAGTGAGGCCACATCCTGTACGCTGGTGGAACGTGACTCCTCACAGGTAAGCCAGCTCAGAGGTGCAGACAGGCAGAAAGAAGATGAGGAACACTGATGGATGACTACTTATCCTCTGACATGCCGCTCCTTCCCCAGGCAATGAACAGGCGGGACAAGCCGGTCCCGCCACTTTGGCTGAGTGGAAGTTGCGTGGGCGCAGACGACGTAATGTCATTTTGTTGGAGGTTGTATGCGCAAACACAAGTAAAGCAGACTACAGGTTGTCAAGAGGCCACCTACCTACATTACCTCACCTCGGGTTGCTCTGTGATGTTGTGAAGAAAGCAGATGTTGTACACTGATTAACTCACTTTCATTACACAACATATTCAACAAACTTTTGTACTTGTTGTACAAAACAATTGTTATCATCCTCTTCTTAACTGTTCCTGCACTTCTGAAAAAGAGTGATTTTATCTTTTTCTTTTATCATTGAAATCAGACACTTGCCTAAAGCAATTGTAGGTTTGACATCTCAACTGTGGTTTTATAGTGAAAAGCAGGTGGTTCCAGCTGCCGCGCAGCAAGACTGATTCGTGATTTGTGTCCACACTACTGGAAGCAAAACAGTTTTTGCCACCACTCGTAATGTGATCATTTCAGCTAATGATGAGGCTTTGCGTGGTTCATCCGCTACTTATTCATTATGCCAGTTTGAAACCTCATGCTCTTTTCTGTGTGGAAAGATGGTAACATCAACTAAATCAAAAGGCATTATCGGAAAATAACCTAGCATTGACCAATTCTGGATGTTTTATGAATCTCTGGTTGTTTTAAGTAATGGCACTAAACAGTTACTTTAACATTTAAAAAGTTAAGTTTCCAGAAATGATTAAATCCTCTTATTTACTTCACTAAGGGTATGGGAAACATGTGTCACTGTTCAAGCTGGTGTCTTTTTTCCAAGTGGTTTTTGGCCTCAGTCAATCATTAGTTTGTGTATTATGTTTCTAGGATCATACTGAATCCTGGTTTGGACTGAGGACCAGCATCCCCTGCAGCAGATGTTTGCTCCTGGCATGTCTGCAAACAGCATGAGCTCCATCACTGACAATCTCGCTCTCAGAATCCAACGCCAGCAACTTAGACTTGGAGATGCTGTGAAACAAACTCTGCATGACAGTGCAGTGCGTTCTGCTGCTCAGACATTAAGGAACAGATCAGTCAACACTGTCTGGAGAGGCTCTCATTCGGAAAGTGAACTTGATGAAAGATGTTTATCGCAGTTACCACAATGGATCCACACATTGTTTGACTTTTTCTAAATTGAAACTGGATTAATATTTTCCCATATATATACATCTGCTTTTGATATTCCGTGTTTATTTACGCTGTTGCCCATACACTGCAGTTGTGACATATACTGTGTTATTCTGGATACAGTATGAACAAGTGCTGGAACTGTAAATGGAAAATAATCAAATGGTATTTTCATTTTTAGGTCTGATATTACAGCACGTGCCCATTGCAGCAACATACGAAACTTATATTGCAAAGAGCACAAAACATGTGCACAGTACTGTGTAAAATACATTTGAACAGATAGGATCAAGATTTCCCAGACGATTACTCATTTATTGGAACTTAACCTTCTAATTGTGATCACAAAGAAGCCATTGTAATCAAGGTGCTTATGAATGCAAATCAAAACCATCTACATTTAAAATAGACACTTTGACAGCCTTTGTTGTTTTTCGATTAATAATCCTGTCAAGGAATGCATTCTGATGATGATTTATAGCTCCATAACTTTAGTTGTGTCTGTGAAACCTAACAGAAATAAAGAACTTGTATCCAAGCTGCTGTCTGTTGTTTTTTATTATTACAACTGCAGATCTATGAGATGAACAACCAATAAGATGCTTTTACGATGTTCGTTAAGTGTGTGAATATGCGTTTAGGATTAGTCATGCTGGCTTCATTACTAGCTGGGCAAGTATGTGCTAATCGTCTGCAAGGAGGACTATCAGGTGATGTATCACTCTTTTTTTCTCTCTCTCCTGCTCAGGCAGTAAGAAGCAGAGTAAAAGTGAAGTGAAATTGGAATTATGTGACATTTAAATATTGATTATCTGAACTGCTTATGGAAATCAGAGTTCTACTAATACTAATGTGACAATGGGTCAAGATTATAGTCTTTCAACACTTCTTAAAATGTTTTGTGCAATAAGCTCATTTACTTATATATTTTCTAGGAGTACAAATGAAAATAGAAAGTGTGTTTGCTGCTTGGTTCAGTTTCTGTAAAGCTTCTATGTATGATGTTGTTGGAGAAGTGCTTAATGTCACAGTCTAGGTCAAAATGAACAAAATTAAACTGCAGGGAGTTTTCACTACTTTGTGCATGAAAATCAGTTTAAGCGAGTTTAACATTTTAACACTGACTTCCCATTCAACTGTCTTTCACTGTCAATTTCAGCTGTGATTCAATAAGGTTCGGCTCACGAGGGGGGAGCTACAGGCCCTGCGGGGGATGGGGTGCGGGAGTGCGGGGAAGCAGAGTTGCTAAGGGGGTAATTATTCCTCGAGGGGTTGCTTATTGTTGTCTTTCTCTCTGCGATAAAACAAAGCGGACCGGGTTAGGCTCCTATAGCAGTGTGCTCGGGCTTTTATTCTGGCGCTTGACAATGTTCTGACAAGTTGTTCAAAGCATCATGGGGATCATATTAAGAATCAAATTTGTGAGGGACAAGGTCATCTCCATCTGTAAAAGAAAAGGGGTGTGAAGGCCCCGGCGCTGATGTTTTGAAAGTTGAGTTTCATGACATCTTTATGGCCCTGCTTATGGTCAACAACATTAGCATGTCCACAATGGACTTCCCTACTTGCCTGCCTCCCCCTCTTTTATTTTTCTCCCCCGCTTTTTCTCACACACATACACAGCTCAGGGGAAAAATGACCTCTCTGCAGCTCTCAATTCACCGCACTTCTATAGCCATGAATGGACCGGCTCAACAAAAGGTGACATAATTTTCTCAGGGTTTGATTGGCCCCCTCCATGCCACAAGATGACATCATGCAAACCCCCTCCTTCTCCAACGCATCACAACCAGCACAAGCACACCAACCCTCCCCTCCATGTTCTTGGATGCTGGGTTCCCAAGACAACAGAGTTAGGCCCTGGCTGTGGGGCAGGACTTGGCAGTAATTTGCAGCTTGGCTGTCCATAATGAGCTCAGGCGGCGTTGCTCTTGTGTTTGTGGTAAACAATCTTCGGAAATGATAGAAGAAGGGAAGGGATAATATATATTTTTCATTCTTCAAATATCTTCTTTTAACCTTTCCTTTATAGGGACCATTAATGTAATCTTCTTCAATGACACATGTATTACAGCAAGAATTGTCAAGCCACAAACTTTTAATGTCAAGCACGAGCTTTTTGTCAACTGCCGAGCTCTCACTTGAAGCTCGGCCAAGTGTCATTGTTTCTCACTTTCTCTCTCATGAGGTTCAAGTGGTGTGTGTGTGTGTGTGTGTGTGTGTGTGTGTGTGTGTGTGTGTGTGTGTGTGTGTGTGTGTGTGTGTGTGTGTGTGTGTGTGTGTGTGTGTGTGTGTGTGTGTGTGTGTGTGTGTGTGTGTGTGTGTGTGTGTGTGTGTGGTGTGTGTGTGTGTGTGTGTGTGTGTGTGTGTGTGTGTGTGTGTGTGTGTGTGTGTGTGTGTGTGTGTGTGTGTGTGTGGAATGGAATAGGGTTGCCTTAGAAGAGGGAATAATTAATTGAGACAAGTTTCTTCAATTTGCCCTAAATTTAGTTTTATTTTCATCCTTATCCATCTTATCAGGGATATCTGCTCTGATTGAGAAATATGAACTTTTACCCTCTATTTAACAATATACCCACAATCTGAAAAAGTACAGTAATTGGGGTGTTCCTCCGTTTGTCACTGTATGGTGTCAAGTAACAAGTTCTGGGTATTGGCTGACTTGCTCAGCTCGGTTCAACCTGTGACCCTGACTAATGAATGTCACTTTTCAAGCTGGTTTTGCATCCAGGAATATTAAAGGCATAGTACAAGATGAGTATCACACACATACAAATGGCCATTTCCCCTTGGAATTGTTGTTAATGAGGATAATTTAAAGTGAGGTTGACATGCAGATCCGGAGCCAAACCTTATTGGTTCCAAAGACTCCTTCAGCATAGACGCCTTGAAGCGCACTCCAAACCATTTCCTCAAATTGGAGCTGCATCCCAAAAAGAAAATGACACAATTACTTCTTGGTCTTGGGGTATGGCCACCATTTTTGTTGAACGTTACATTGTATTAGAGTCATGTATGGTCGTGCTTATATATACTGGTTTTAATGGGAAAAGACAATCATTTTCTACTTTTGCTTTTCCCGTACAGCCTTCTGTCTTTATCTTGCCCATCATGCCAAGTCTCTATTCACTTTAAAGTGCACCTCATTAAAGCTTTCATGCTTTCCTTTTCTTGCTGTTCCTTGTGGTGTTTTGTGATTAACTGTGGTGTGCCGGGTTGGCCCCTCCTTGGACTTTGTTGGAAGAGAGCATAGCTTTGGTGGGTTTGTGAGCTTGGATGAGCGCTGACTGTATCGGTTACCTCTGGCATGTTGGGAGTGCGTGGGCTCCCATCGCCTATGACGTTGATTCACTCTCAATGCACAGGAGAGATGGTGGGAATCCACTTCTTTTCTTTTTCTCTGTATTTTCCACAATTGTTCTTTACAGATGATTTACCTTGAGTTTATTATGACAATATTTTCCCAAAGTTAAAAGTTACAACATAAATCCGGAGTAAATTGATAGGGACAATAAGGTTACATACTTTCCAAAAATCATAAAAGATGCAGCGACCTTTGTGGTTTATTCATGGTGACAGCCTTGATTGGCAAGGTGACATAGAGGAGGCAGTTGCATGGGAAACCATCCCTCAGTCTGGGCACCCTCTCCATCCCGCGCCTCTCTCGCTCTCTCTCTTAATCCCCATTGAGAAGGGGAAGGGGAGACTCGGGAAGCAGGAGAGGATGAAGAGGAGGAGGGGAGCAACAGAACAGGCCAAAGGCTTCACTGACATCCATGGGAATCTGCAGATCCATTCAGTCGTAATTATTAGCATCAATGCAGAGAGGCAGTGGCAAGGCGAGGGGCGGGGGCAAGGGGGTGTGGGAGAGTTTTGGGGGTGCGGTTGGGCGGGATGAGGGGGTGTCAGTCCAAGATGGAAATCAATCACCAGAGGAGCCAAGAGGTTGTAATGAGAGAGAGAGAGAGAGAGGTGTTGAACAGGGTTACTTTCCATTATAGCAAAGACGATGTGAGCAGCATTTGTCAGCGCAGCATTTCCCTTTCCTTGGTGTCTGGTCTCTGGAGAAGTGATTACGAGAAAGGAAATATTTATAGACAGAGGAACTAAACAGTACATCATCAAATATGAAGTCAGTGTACATGACCATTTGATCTCTGATTAAGTCAGTTGCCATTTGGTTTTTATGTTGTAGGTCAAACATGACTGAGAGTAACCTTTAATGAATTACAGTCAATGCTGATTCACTGCAAGTCCTTTTATATTAGGAATTTAACTCAATGTATCCAGTATTGTTGAATTGCCTACGATGACACTTTTGTCATGTAGTTATATCAGAGGATTTTCTGATGGATGTGTGAGGGTAAAATAATTCATGGTCTCGCGTGCTTCCTGCCTGTCTGCATGAAATGAAGCAACATGGTGAAAGTTCTCAAGTCAGGGATGCCAGCCCTCTGTCCCCTCTACATCATACATCACCCTGACTGGCTATTTCACTCCTGGATTCAGAATTCCTCCTGATCAACCACCTCAAACACTTTGGGTTGTCCCTGCTTGGTGAGAACGTCACTCCGAGCTTGCTGAACACCACATTTTGTACTTTTGCCAACTAGCCGCAGAGACAAGTATGCCCGATGGAATTATGACTAATGATTTTTTATTTTCTCCCTTTCTTCATTTGAAACTGTAAAAAAACAACTTCCAGCTGAGGGTATTTCAGCACTGCAGCTAGTAGTGCCTGCCTGACCTTTCACTGATTGTCAAAGAGGAAGGATCTGATTTAAATGGAAGACAGTTTTTAGAGGTGCGTTTTGAGTGTTGCTCATTGCTTCTCACTGTGAAAGAAAGGTCATGTCACAGGTCAGGTCAGCACTTATTCTCTCCCTTAGAAGGTCTGGTGATACTCTGGAGTTTACCTTGGGAAAAACAGTCAGATAGAGATGTCTCATTATGCTGCCGGTGAATTTAGACAGAGGGTGTCAACATGTCAGCTTCAGGGATAACAGATTTCTTCTTGTGAAGCTGTCAGAAAGAAATGTTACAATAAGTTAGCTATGTTATTTGTGCGATATGCTTGCAGCATTACAGGCTTTGAAGATAAACAAACATAAATTATATTCTGAAACCTCAAATAATGCCTAATGTGTTAACAACAAATTAATTTTCTTTATCTCAAGACTAATGCCCAGAAAACACATACTTATATTTAAATGTACAGTGCCTCTAGTATAAATATAACTCATGTTAGGTATAGTTTCTTTTTGTATAATGCTCTTTAAGGCCTGAATTTTGAACTCAAGTAGGTATATATTGTGATTTGAATAACTCCCAATGTTATTTGTCTTTTTTAGAGTTATAACTTGTGATTTCAGTGTATCTCATACATTTCTAGCCGTTCTTTGCCTCCCACGCTGCAGGAATCCTCTGGTCGGAGAAAAGAGTGACCCCTTGACCCACACACACAAAGTTCCTTTTTACATGCAGCACTTGAATTTCGTCTCCTTATGTGTAGAGTTGGCAGAGGGGTGAGGAACAACG